TGTGTTACAGTGTGTTACTAAGCGGCTGCCTGCAGCTGCCTGTCGGATGTTTGGAGACGTGTTGCAGCTGCAGCCTGAGTGTTTGCGTGTTTCCGACTGGACCCTTGAAGCTGCAGCTCGCGGGCCCTGATGGTCCGATAGCAGCAGGACTCTGGTCTCCGTCACGCTGATGGAGCTGCTCTCTGTAAACAGGGTGGAGGCGGCGCTGGCCGACCTTCTGCTGCTGCTTCACGTCGCTCAGTGACTAAACAAACAGAGTCACAACAAGAAAACAAAGATGTAACCGCGACGCAGGCCGACACTTGATGCTGTTTAAACTGTGGAACCTGGATGTGAAGTGTCTGCTGTCTGGAGATGGTCCTGGTGTGTTCTGGAGGTAAGATGGTCCTTCCATCGTCTAGAACTTGTTCTGGAGCTCTGAAATAACCATCGTCTGACCTCCAGATATTCACATTCAGAAGAACTGTCTGAGTGAAGCACTTTATCCAAAATAAAATCATTTATTGGTGCTGCAGAGTTCTGAGCTGCGCCTGTGAATGAATCAAACTCACCTAATTAGAGTCTGATTCACACCTGATCAGTCAACCTGCTGTAAACACAGCTGAGCTCTGATTGGCCGCTTTGATCTTCCTCCTCCTCATCACTCACAGGTGTGTGTGTGTGTGTGTGTGTGTGTNAAACAACAACTCACTTTTGTAGTCAAACATGGCTTTTTATTTTTACAATCAGCCTTTAACTAAATACTTCTATTATCTCTAATTTAATAAAAACTGTAGAAAACATGCAAAGTAGCTGTAAATTGTTCAGCTAGAAGCGGTTTGGTGTTCGTTTTTTTACAGAGTAGTTCGATCAGAGGAAGAAAAGCGAGTCTATTCAGGACCATGTGTCCTGTTCTCCCTGTTTTTACAGATTCTCTTCAGCAGACTAGTTAACGTCTGCATTTAACAAAACAGGGAAAACGTGTCGCTGTTCAACAAACTAGAGTTAAAAACGTAGATTTATGTTTTGCATCTCTTTCAGTGGAAACGTCTTGTAGAGAATTCAAACCTAAAAGAAGGACGGAGGTTCAGGCTGAAAGAGGAAACTGGATCTGCAGAGAACAGAGGTGAGGGGGAGGAAGGATCTCCTGGGTGGGCCGCGAATCAAAGCACTTAGTCCACAAGTAATAATAGAGTCTGTTAGATTGATGAGCACCTCAGAGATACATGGATCCGCAGGAGAAACACCGAGGAACTAAAATAGCCTCTCTGGGCCAAGCGTCGGTAAACCAGACCTGATGTAACCCAGCGGCGGCTACAGGAGGCCTGCAGGCAGCAGGACAGGCTGCACATGTGGAGGCTTCCCGCTCAGAGCTCCGGTGACGTGAGGCGACAGGTGGACGGAGATCAGCCGGCACAGGAACAAACTGCTAATTAGCCGGTCCAGGGTCAGAGGTCGGCCGCCGCGATGATGTCACCACGAAGGGACGCGTTCCAGATGTTGTTCAGGACAGAACCACCTGACGCCTCGAGTCAGTGTCACGTCACCGAGTT